AAAAGCACCCACCTCAAACTACTTTTGTAGTATATGCAAAACATCCACCTTTGAAGAATGCCAGCGGAGACCTTTGAGGCCTGCACACGTCATTGTCAGCAGCTTTCAAAGTGGTAATGCTGACATGCCTCATGCAACTTCCTTACTTACTTATGCAACCTACCCCTCATGTAGAAAACAGGAAATCAATCTACAAGTCTACGCATTCCTGTATCCATAAAAAGAACCAAAGTTACAGACACATATACACCAAGCTGTCATGTTCTCTTTACTTTATATGAAAGCCAACCAATGCACAACAAGGATTTACATGAGCAAAGTGGCAGTTTTAAACCTTAGTTCTATGCTAAGCAAGATCTATGGAGGCACCCACTTGGACAAAATATTAGTAAAAGCTACTCTTAAATAAAAAAATTAAGTGTTAACATTAATATTTATTTTAACTTAAGGACTGGCAGGTACTTCAGGTACACATTTTGGATTTGCAGATGCCTTCTCTTTAGATAGTTAGGCTGCCCTCTCTTCCCACATCCCCACTGAAGTGTTTTAAGATGCCAAAATTTCCTCACAGCATACATGTATTCACAAGGACTATGAAGTAAATCAGCAATATTTAAGCTGAAGTGAAGAGGCAAACACATGCAGAAACATTTCTAGAATTAAGATTTGGGGATGAAGAGAATCTAACACATCTCTTCTTTATTGACAATGCTGAGCTTGTAAAACTACTCACAGATATCCTCAAAATTATGCACACTTTAAATATTCCAGTGAATGTTTAGATACACAAAGGCAGCCTCAGACACACCTAAACATTTTACACCAACCCAGGAAGAAGCCTGATGAGTCCGGACAGGCTGGGACAGCCCCAGCCTAAGAGTTAAAAAGGGTTTTTACTTCAACTTAACTACATTCCTCAAGAATACAGTCTTATCCATACAGACAGACTGTTACGGCTGCTTGGAATAACACTGATACAGATGTGGCTCTGCTAAGGCACAAGGGTACTCAACACTAATTCAACTGCAATTTGTACAGTCACCTAGCTGTATTTTCTGTATTATTTAATTAGGAAACATTTTAAAACTTCATATCTTTTCCCATACCATAATAACTCTCAAGCCAGAAAAGTTTCATTTTTCTCATAAAGTTATCTGGAATAGTTGGCTCTAGAAAACAAGGATCAGATGTTCCCAAGGGAAAAATTTAAAAGAAAAGAATTTAAAGTTCACAAACTCAAGTTTGTGAACTTTGCCAGATGAAGGAGTTGGAGATACCTTTTGGCAAAAAAATTGTGTGTGAAGGCAGCACAAGCTACTGTGGACACAGGGAATGCTAAAATACTAAGAAACAATAATACACATAGCTATCTATCCTGAAACATTTAGCTAAAACAAAAATCACCATAACTATTGTATACATTATCTCTTTCCAATGCTAGAACAGAAACTAACAGGTTATATAACAAATGGTAATTATGTAACCCTTTGCCAGCAGCAAATATAACAAAACTAAGTCCATATGCAGATTTGATAACTGTTATTTAGTTGTTATGTTCAAATAAGAGCAGTAATAATAACCGTGACATTTCTAGGCACTCTCTCATAGCTTTTGGAATTATTCAAACCAAATTATTAGGCAAGTCATAATTCCTTATATTTTTGGTACAAGGAGGGAGTGTATTAGAACACTTATTGACAGCTTTTATTATGATTGAATTAAGCGAAGAAAGTTCATGGAACATTTTATTAGTGTGTAGATTAAGCAGTCTTTTTCCTTCCTGAATCTTGGTATCATTTCAAGAATTAGAAAGGATGCTGAGGACAGGGCATTGGACTAGGACTAAGGAAACCACCTTTTGCTTCCTGGTTCAGCTAGAAATTCTGGTGCTGTTTTGGAAAGTCACGTAATTTACCATGTCTCACTTCAGTTACCCATCTCTAAAAATACAGTGTTAGCACTTCCTTATTTCATACAGTTACACTGAAGGCAGAAATCCATTACAGACTGAACTATTCTAAGACTATGGTGACTAGTCCATAATTTTTTAATACAGGCACATATAATGGGAACTGAAAGACAAAATGAAGCAGGACTTAGTGCTCTACATAGCTATTTCTTTAAGAACCCCTAAGACTATAACGCTTAGATTCCTTCACAAAATCTTTAATATCTTTAGAGTCACAAGTCACATGAAATTTCAGTATTTTTTGAAGTAATAGCCACGGTGTATACTTCCCGTTTGCTAGAGTACAACCCAAGCAACATAACATAGCAAACATATATGATATCTGCTTTATCTGTGTCAATGCTTCTAGCAGCAAAAAAAATCACCATTTGTAGCTGAAGGCTGTATTTAACTCCCACTAAAAAGTCCAGTATTTGGCAAGATAGAATTTTAAGTTTTTCTCTGGGATGGCAGCATTAAAAAACCTGAGGCTTGCAGATTTCTAATGACATTTTAAAGACATGAAAACAACAAGATTCAAAAACAGCCTGACAGCATACTTTAATATTCAAAACTACTGTCCAGTTCCATCATGAAAAGATGCAAATACAGTAGAAAGTTGTGTCTATATCAACAAAGCAGATAAGCATATTATTACCAAAATGCAGAACAGGAATACTAATTTATCTTTTTTTGTTGTTGTTAATTTAAATGATACTGTTTGCAGCTAATTCTAGGGATTTTTTTGATTGAAAGTCAGCACAAGAAACTGGAAACAATTATTACACCTCAAAAGATGTTCCCTACTCCTTCCAAAAAGGCTTTGTTACCATCAGTTACAGTGGATACAGTGGATGTTACCATCAACAAAACATCAAAAGCAACACTAGTTTATGTACCACATTGTAGACAACCTTCATGTTCACCTGTCTCCTTTCAATTTAGATTGCTACAGCTATGCATGTAGATCTGAATGAATAAATATGAGTTAAGTAATTTTCTAGATCCTGAAGCAGCATGATGCTACAAAGTTCGTCCCGAGTTAAAACAAAACTTATCTGCAGCGTGCAAGGGAGCACTGCAATTTACTCTTTGTTCAATCCAGCATTTAACTTGTATATAGGAAAAAAAAAAAATCCCAGACCAAAGACAGACAAACAACATAACACAAAACAGGATAACCCCCTCCAACACTACCACACACAAACTCCACAATCCAAGGACCTCGTACTTAGATCCTTGTGAGTTAATGTTCAGGGACCCTCAAAATTAAACCAAGTCCTTGCCTTACCGGAAGCATTTTACTTTTACAGGAATCCTGAAATCAAGGTTGATTAAGTCAAGTTATATTATAAGACGCTTTGTAATCATTTTAGCTTAGTTAAACGCATCTCTATAGCAGTAGTGCCTGGAAGCTTTATCATGAACCAAGGCTCCACTGCCTTGGTACTACACAAGCACCTAGCATAAAACTGCATCTACCCTGAAAACGTTTGTCCAGGTTATTCCTATGGAAACTCAAGTTTTAACCTGAATGCATCAGGAAAGTGCTGTCCTAGAAGATCAGATGCCTTAAAAGCTCTTTAAAAGAAATGAATATACAGAATCCTCTGATTGGGAACCTCAGGTACTACCAAACTACAAAATCTATTAAATCTTTCTCTTGGTATTTGGAAATAATTTCCTTTAGACAATTTTCAAGATGATAATGCAAGCCTGCAAAGCTTCTGAAATTGCAGTGATGTATCCTCTTCTGTAAATTTAACAAGAACAACAATACCCTAACTACTTTGTATATTAAATAAGCATCTGAGGAAAACTTTCATATAACTTGTCTAATTTTCAGTTACAAACTTTGGGAAATGGATAGTTACAATATAAGTGTACAGCTGCCAACTACATACTCTAGACCAGTGGTTCTCAACTGCATTAGACCCAAGACAGCTCTGAGAAAATACTAGTTCTTAGCTTCCACTCCTTCCTTGACCACAGAAAAATAATACTACCATCTTCTGTTGCAAAAGAAATGAAAGATGACAACAGACCAGAACATTTTTGGTGTTCTGAATTCCTATTTGAAATATCTGGCTTTATCTTGTGATACACAGATGTTTGGACACCTGGCAGTGGTAATGCTACACAATATCTTTAAAAGGGACTCAGGGCACCCTAGTTAAGAACCACTGCTCTAAATGGGCAAAGAAGGCTCCAGGGTTTCTATGGCGTACAGAAGAATGAGGTAACAGTGATGTAGACACACAGAAGTAGGGCTGAAAGGGACCTACAGACGTCATCTAGTCCAATCCCCTGCCTGAAGCAAAATCATCCCTATTCAAACCATCCGATACAACCATAATTTGAACTCTGCCTAAGATTACCCTTAACTCAGATGTAACATAAACCCTATATCTAGAAAGATATAATCAAGTCACTGACCTAACCTGGGCTATGAGAGAGGGCTCATCTTGGTCTTCACCCCAGAAAGTACCAGCTGCCCCTCTGACCTTGTTCTTGTGGGACTCCCTCTTGGCTCAGCACAAGGTGCTATTTAACGGAAAGCTCCCCAGGCAGAGCTAGCCCAGATGGGCTCCTTACCTTCGATGTTCAGCTCGAAACAGACATGGCAAAATGAGAGCGTCTCCTGCTCCGTGCCCAGCTTGCACACACTGCACACATTGTCATCCGTCAGGTCAATGTTCACAAACTGCTCCTCATTCATAGTTGCCCTGGGAGAAATCAGAGAATAAAATTAGGGTTGGAAGGGACCTCAGGAGGTCATCTAGTCCAACCCCCTGCTCAAGGTAGAAGCATCCCCAACTAGATCATCCCAGCCACAGCTTTGTCCAGCTGGGTCTTAAAAACCTCCCAGGATAGAGATGCCATCACCTCCACGGGTAACCTGTTCTAGTGTTTTACTACGCTCCTAGTGGGAATTTTTTTCCTAATATCTAACCTAAGCCTCCCTTGCTGCAACTTGAGACCATTGCTCCTCGTTCTGTCATCTTCCCCCATTGAGAACAGCCTAACTCCATCCTCTTTTGAACCTCCCTTCAGGTAGCTGAAGGCTGCTATTAAATGCCTTCTCAGTCTTCTCTTCTCCAAACTAAATAAGCTCAGTTCCCTCAGACTCTCCTCAGAAGTCATGTCACCAGCCCCCTCACCATGTTTGTTGCCCTCTGCTGAACTCTTTCCAATTTGTCCATATCCTTTCTGCAGTTGGGGGGGTGGGGGGCAAAACTGAACAGAGTACTCCAGATGTGGCCTCACCAGCACTGAATAGAGGGAAAGAATTACTCCCCCGACCTACAAGGAACACACCTACCAGTGCAACCCAGTATGCCATTACCCTTTTTCCCAACAAGGGCACGCTGTTGGCTCATATTCACCGTATTGTCCACTGTAACCCCTGGGGTCCTTTTCTGCAGAGCTGCTGCCCAGCCACTCAGCTCCCAGTCTGTACCAGTGCATGGGTTTCTTCCATCTTAAGTGCAGGACTCTGCACTTCTACTGAACCTCCAGAGATTCCTTTTGGCCCAATCCTCCAACTTGTTGAGGTCTCTCTGAATCCTAGCCCTGCCCTCCACTCTTAACCCCCAGCCCCTTTTCTGCAGCACCACTCCTGGCTTGTTACCCCTTGCCTGACCTCTTCCCCGCCCCCTAGCCCGGCCGTTGGGCCCCTCGCAGCCCGCGCGCCCCGATGATGACGTCATCCGGGGCTCAGCTTCGCGGCCCCGCTCGGTGCGCCTCCCCTCCCCCGCCCGGGAACGGCCCCCCAGTGGCCTCGCGCCTGCCTCGTCAACCGCGTTCCAGGCTGCGTCACTCCGCGGCGCGCCGGGAAATGCCCAGAACCGCCCTCACCCGCGCCCGCTCGCGTCGCTGTCCCGCTTGTGCTCCACGC